GGACCCCCGGGGGAACCAGGCTCCTTCAGTTCAGCAGCTGTGGAGGGCCAGGGAGAGGGGGGGGGGGCTGGATTACCGATAAGAAAGGGGGAGCAGACAGCAGCTGACAAGGCAAAGTCCAAGCTTCTTCCAGGAATCCTCCAAGTGGGCACTTCTGGCCGCCTGACGTGCCGGTTTTAATTTTGTCACCGCTAAAAGGGGCTGCGGGGTTTTTCTGCAAGCATCGGCTTTGCTGCTTTCTGGCCCATCTCAAAGTGGGTGAGCCTCTCAAAGCGGTTAGAGGATTTTGTGAGTCATAAAGAAAAACAGAAAGCAGCAAATACATTTTGCAAAGTGTAGACTCTGAAATTTTCCCGAAATCCGAGTCTGGAGAGTTTCTGGAAGGAGGGCACCTTTTCCAGCTGTTCCTCAAGGACTGTGTCCTCAGTGGGAGCCCCCCTAGGCGCCTGAGCAGCTGAGTAGAGACAATTCGGGGGGGGGGTCTTTTTCATGCACAGGAAGGTTGTTTTCTAAACCTTATTTCTGCCTCCAGGGAGCTCCGAGCAGGGGGCCTGGGCTCTCTCCTCTTGCAGCATTATGACCCCTGTGCATTTGAGATTTGGCCCCTCAGCCATGTACATTTGGACATGGCTGAGGGCCCAAAAAGGGGCTGCTTCTTCCTAAAAATGTTAGCAAATTTCAGAAAAGCATAAAGTACAAAAAAAGCAAAAAATGAATTTAAAAAGAGGGAAGAGGAAGGGAAAAGCAAAATTGACGAGTGCTGACAAAAAGGGAAAAAAGCCACATCCGCCTTTCCTCAGTACAGATAAAAGCCTAAAAATCAACTGTTAAACAAACAAACTTCTATCGTCCGAAACAAATCTAATTGTCAAAACCCAAGTTAAACTTTCATTTCTTTGCAAGCAGAAAAGAAGCCAGAGAGAGTCTTGTCTTTAACCAAAGCTTCAGTTTGACTGAGCTGAATTAGAACCTGGGTCTTGCAACGCCCGTTGCCCAAGCTGGCACCCTGCCCTCCCCTGAAAAAGAGCACCCACTCTGGAGTGCATTGAGAAGAAGCAAGGAGGGTCTTGAGCCCTTTAAAAACTCCCTTCTTTCCTGCAAAATGGCAGGATCCCCCCATCCTCCCATCCTTCAAAGGCCGGGAGTTGGATTGGCCAAGGGAAGTGAGTCTCCCTCTGGATTCAGCCAGGGGACCAGAGAGGTTTTCTGCTTTGTTTCCTAATTTTGCCGGGAGTGGGGGAGGATCTGCCGAGAGTCCCTTGAAGTCTGAGTCACTGGCAGCTTTTGCTCATCAAGAGGATGTGGGACAACTCTTTGCCTCCCCTCCATTACTGTTGCCATTACCCAGTTAATTAATCCAGACAAGAGAGCCGAGAGGGGAAGGTTCCCGCACAAGGCAACGGGAATGGGCTGACCTAGAAAAATCTCTTGCAGAAGAGGCTTTAAGCCCCTCTCGGTGCAAGGAAGGAAGACGGGCTGATCAGTCTGGGTCTCTGAGCCTCTCCGTTTCCAAATTGCCATCATATTTCATTCTCTTGGGGGGGGGGGGAAATGCGCAGAAGGACTGTGTAATAGCCGCCTACTTTCAAAGCGCAGCAGCCTGTCGTGTGAAGGGAACCTGGAACAGTCCCCCCCCCCAGCCCCCTCCCATTCCAGGGCAAGGGAGGAGGCCCTTCTGCCTCTCCGGGGGGTGCAGGGCGCCCCCCTGGGTCTTGGCCAGTGGCTCAGAGAGAGAGGAATTCAGATCGGCTGCTCTTAAGAAGTGCCCAGTTCTGTAAAGGTGCAGGAGAGTTCGTGAAGAAGATGGCAACAGAGCTGATTTAGAGAGAAGCAAGAAACAACCCACACGGGTTCAGCTAGCAAGGATGCAACGCGGATGCAATCAAACCTGAGAACGAAATCCTTATATGCGGGGGGGGGGGGACGGTTTCAGTTACAAATCTTGTCGTTTCCTAGCCTGATTTTCTTCCCAGGAAAGGCCAAAGGCAGACAAGCAGGAGCCGAAGGGCACCTCTGCTCCAGGTGCGCCTGCTCAGGCTCCATTCAGCCCCCCCATGCAGCCGGCGGAGGGTCGGGCCCCCAACTCTCTTCCCAGTCATTGTCCTCAGCTGGGCCGAAGGGCTGATTCCGTGGAAGCTTCTGTTGCCGTATTACGTTGCTTCTCACGGGAAGGAGCCCTTTCTCCGTCTTCCCCCGATGGCCTCCTGGGCAGGCTGCACGGTCAGAAGTGCTGGAAGGTTCTTAGGAAGTCAGAGCCTGAGCCACACTCGGATCCTCTCCTGCGCAGCAGCTCCAGAGACCACCCTTGGCCCCCTCTGGGCTCCCCCCCCACCTCCCTCCAAAGGAGCCGGGAGTGATCTATAGCATTGTTTTCGGGAGATAAGCAGGAACAGAAGATCTATTAGTGGCTTAATTATCCCTGCCAAGAGAAACCAACAGCATTTTATCAGGAGAGCCGGCGCTCGACCAGCAAGTGGGGCTGGGTGGGTTTCCAGCCTTGGCTCGCCTGGGGGGCTGACACGTCCCTTGCCGGCTGGCCCATCCAGCTGATGGTTCTGACCTCTGCCTTCACCTTGTCTGCCTTGCTTTGTCCCTTGGCCAGGCTTCCCAACTATTCTGGGCACGCTCGCACATCCAGGCAAGTAAAGTCAGCAGCCCTTGATCGATTCCTGGAGGATGAGCCTCAAGAGCTATTAGCTGGGAGGGGGCGGAGGGGGGGCCTTTGTGGTCGAGGGCAGCCTGCCCAGGAGAGGCCGGAGGAGGAAAAGGGCCGCTGGGGGGTTCCTGGGAGTCCTCCTGCTGGCTCCCTATAGAGGCAGGGTGGATGGGACCCAGAGGCTGGCTTGGAATGGGGGGGGGGGTTGCTGAGCCTCACCCAGTGCCAAGGAAGAATGCCAGCACTGCTGCACACGGGGCCAAACCGTGACTCAGAAAGGCAACCACTTGCTGGCCCAAGGGAGGGGGCACTTGGCGGGAAGCCTTGGCAGAGTGGGAAATAATATTGGGGGGGGGCTGTATGGAGAACAAAGAGTGCAAATGTCCCCCCCCCAATATGCCTATGTTTGCTCTAATTGAAGAGCCCATGAGTCACCCACCTCTCTTGGGTGATGCTGTCCCAGCCAGCCATGGGGGTGGGGGGAGCTCCTCCAGCGTCCAGAGCAAGAGAGGACCCTGCTCCTCTCTTCACCTTCCCAGCCGGGCAAAGTCACCCTCCCCCAATGGGGCCTTGGGTTGTCTGGTCATCTCACAGAAGCGTCCCCCCCTCCAAGAGCCAAGCTGGCCCTACAAGGCTCAGAGGAGCGAAAAGGGAACCTGGCCCCCAACCCCTCCCTTCTCGGCCTCCTTGAGCCGAATTTGTTTCACGGCTCCTCCAGCCCCCCCCTCTCCCCCAATGAGAAATTGAGTAACATTTGCTTTTCAAAATGGTCCCAGAAGGAAGGGCTTTGTTTTTACCACCACAGGGGGAAACCTCTTTGGATTCAGGCATACTTTCCCCCTCCCCTTTCTCAAATATAAGCTCTGCCCCCCCCCATCCCTTTTCAATGCAGGAGGGTTGCGACTTTTAGCAGGCAAAGGAGGCAGTTGAGCTGTAATTACTCCCACTCCTGGCAGAGTCATTGCGTGGTGCCCCCTGCTGGTAGTTAGAGGAAGGCTTGGCAGTGTTGCCCCTCCCTGGGCCTGAAAGGCAGTGGCGGAGAAAACCAGTGATTGGGGGGGGGGCTCCCCTCTTTCCAGGGGCCTTGGGTTAAAATGAGGGAGCGTAACTGAAAGACAAGGCTGGGAGGGGGGAAGAGGCCCCGGCCTTTCCACAGAAGCCTCTGGGAGGGGCCCCTTCGGGAGGGGAGGGGGAGGGCCCAAGGGAGGAGGGCCACAGGGCCAAACTGCCAGCTGTCATTTAACCTTTTGGCCAGTTATATTTTTGGGGGGTGGGGAGGGATGCACACTTTCCGGAGCTGTCCAACCCGTGCTGCACTGTTCTTTCTAGAAGCTTCTGTCCTCTGCAGCAGCTGTTCCAGGGATCCTGGCCTTCCTGGGAGCAGCCGGTCAGCTGAGCTCTGGGCTGGAAGGTCTCCTCCTCTCCCCGTCTCTGGCCTTCCTGGGAGCAGCCGGTCAGCTGAGCTCTGGGCTGGAAGGTCTCCTCCTCTCCCCGTCTCTGGCCTCAAGGGCTGGTTGTCCCCAGAGAGATCAGGATCTGACAGCAATCAGTCTCCGGGCTCCCACGGCTGGGATCGGTTCTGGGCAGGTTTCCTTAAGAGCCCCTTCTATGCAATCAGGAACCCCTCGCTGGCCTTCTGCAAAGGGGGGGGGCACGTGTGACTGTAACTGAGCCACTCCCCCCCACAACTCCCCCTCAATCATGAGGTTCATGGAAACCACCCATGGACTCTCTGTTCCCATAACCTGGTTTGTTTCCTGCAAGAGCCAAGGATCTCCTGTTTCCAATCTTGCACCTGCTGGGGCCCCTCTGCCAAAGCTCTGGAGCCACAGCCGGCCCTGCCTGGGACCCCTTAATGCCCACAGGAGCCCAGGGTGTCTCCCCCCTGCAGGTCTTCTGCTGTGGATGTATCTCCAGTTGACCGATGGCCTCTTTCTCTCCCCTTTTCTGCTGCAGGCGTAAATTCTGCGGGGAGGCCCCTGGGCTCATTTTCCCACCGGGAGGAGCTCACAAACAGCAGCTTTCTCAGGAGGAAGATGGGGCCCTCCAGAGACCCCACCCCGGAGGGTCCGGAGCAGGTGCTGGAAGAGCCCCCGGATGCCCTGGCTCCCCAGCTGCCCTCGTCCTCCAAGGGGGCCTTCTCGGGGCCCACCGTACGACCGACCCCTCCTGCCAGGAAGAAGCAGGAGACCCAGCGGCTGAAGCTGGCCACGAACGCCGGGGCCTTTGTGGAGAGCCAGCAGCCCCCGGAGGATTGGGGGGAAGGGTTCCCCGGGTCTCTGGAAGAGAAGCCCACCGTGCCTGTGGGGGACGGCGGGGAAATCAGCCTCGGGGTGACCAGCCATTCCTCGCTCCAGATCTCTCCTTCCACAGTTCTGCCAACCACTTGGGGCCCTGGTGCTCCTCCCCGAGGGGTGACCGAGACCCTTGAAAAGGAAGCCGGGATCCTGGCCAACATGCCCCCCCAGAAGGCCGAGGAGGAGGAGGCTGTGAAGGGGGGATCTTCCTCCAGGGAAGAGGGCCGAGAAGCAACTTCTGCCACCGTCGGCCCCCCGGAGCAGCTGCCGAGTAAGTGATCTCTGCCCACCCGAGCCGGCCCTCTCCCCACCGCTGCCCCTGCCTTCTGGCTGCTCTTTCGTTTCTGCCCCCGCTCTGCTGACGGGAAGGGTTGGGGAGGGGTCCAGGGCTTTTCGCTGGAGCCCTTTTCCTTGGCCTCCTCTGAGATGTGGGCTCCCAGCCCGGGACTCCCTGGCGCCCAGTAAGGCTCCCTCCAGGCCTGCTGGGAGGCTGATCCCGGCTGCTCTGGGTGCCCTGGAAGAGGCCAGGAGAGGGAGCTTTCGGCTGGCCTCCCTTGCAGGTCTCTGCAGCATGAATTTCTCTGAGCCGGAGGGCTACATCGACTCGGCCGAGGCTCCGCTGGCGCCCCAGAACGGCTTCCTGGAGTGCACCTTCCGCGTGAGAGTCTACACTGGATATGGGGTGGAGCTGCAGGTAGGAAGGGCTGCCGGAGGGCTGGCATGAGGGGGGGGGGGCTGCTGAACCTGTTTGTTCCCTCTTGAACAAACCCAGCTATTGCGGCTAAGGAGGGCACCCTCCCTGGGCACCTGGCTTCCCACCCAGGGGCAAAATGGGAGCCAGAGAAATTGCGGCTCGCTCTGGAGCCTTCCAGAGGGCCTTACACCCTCCTCCCCTGCTGCTCATCCTGGGAGTTGTAGTCCTCCGCCGCACCCAGAGGGAAGCAGGGTGGGGCCAGCCTCTTCCAAAGGAAATACCTCTCCAGTTCCATTCCTATGAGGCGCCCAGAGACTAATGGGCAGACTCCCTCGTGCCAGCTCTGACCCCGAGGACGTTTTCCTCCTCGCCCGCCTGGTTCATCATCATCCAGAAGGGTTCCTGATGCTGTGTGGGGTCTCCAGCTCTGCTGTTCTTTTGGGCCGGGCCGGGAGAGCCGGGGCTGGTGGAGAGGAGGCTGCTGGGTAGTTTCTGGGGCTGCTTATGCAGGGCATTTCAGGCGGCACAAATGCCAGGCTGAGCAGAAGCGAAGCTTTCAGAGGCTGCTATTCAGGAAAAGCCTTCAGGTGAAGGAGAGAACCATGGAGCTCGTTCAACATCGATTGGCTCCCAGGCCCTTCGTTTGGCTGCTCCTCCCCAGGGGGGACCTGAGTGGGTCAGGGCATCATGAGGTCCTCCTGGTGGAAATCCTCCCCCCCCCCCCCGAGTGAAGCCGCTGTGGGGCTTCTGGATTCCTGTCACCCGACGATGGGCCTCTTCTTCCTGAGTGCAGGTGAAGAGCGTGAACCTGTCCGAGGGGGAAGTGCTGGCCATTCGTGGGGAGGACGACGGCCACTTGGTCACGCTGGCCAACCAGACGCTCCTGGTAGAAGGCCAGGTCATCCGCAGCCCCACCAACACCATCTCGGTCCTCTTCCAAGCCTTCCCGGACGGCCTGGGGACTTTCCAGCTGCATTATCAAAGTAAGCCCCCTCCCCATCCAAGATCCCCCCTCCCAAAGCTTCCTCGCAGGCCTTCCTTTCCAAAAGCCTCTTTGCTGACTTGGCCTCCTGCCAGGGCTCGAAGGGGCTGAAAGGAGGCCCAAGATGCCCCACCAGACATGCCCCCACCTTCTCTGGAAGAAATGGGGCTGCCCCACAGCCGAGCCTTTCACAGGGGATGACCGGTCCCTCCGGCCTGGATAAGGGTTATGGGTTCAGGCCGATTTTAGGGCCTCTGCAGCCAAAGGAAATGGGCTCGGAGCTGCTACGGAGGAGAGCCTTTTCAGTAGCAGCTCCGACCCTTTGGAACGATCTCCCCGTGGAGATTCGTACCCTCACCACC